TTCTTTTTCATTGTCCCTCCACTTTACCAAGCATGATGTAATTCTCCAGAGAATGGTCCCTTCTTACAACATGACCAAAGTAGATAACATGAAGTCTTGCTATTTTTGCTTTCAAGGAGAATTCCAGCTACACTTCTTCTAGGAGAGATACATTAATTCATTTAACAGTGCATGGTACTTTCAGCATTCTTTGCCAACACCACAACTCAAAAGCATCGACTCTTCTTTGGTCTTTCTTTTTTCATTGTCCAGCTCTCACATGCATAGGTGGTGATTGAAAATATCATGACTTGTGTCAAGTGCACCTTAGTCTTCAAGGAAATATCCTTGTTCTTCAGCACTTGAAAGAGGTCCTTTGCAGCAGGTTTGCCCAATAAAACAACAACAACAAGAGTAAGGCATCTAAAATCCTGACTGCTACTTCCACTGGTGTTGATTGTAGGCCCAAGTAATATGAAGTCTTTGAAAACTTGAGTCTTTTCTCCATTTATCGTGATGCTCCTTATTGGCCCCATTGTGAGGACTTTTGTTTTCTTTATATTGAGGTGTAATCCATACTTCAGACTGTAGTCTTCAACCTTCATCAGTAAGTCTTTCAATTCATCCTCACAAGTTCATATACATTTTTTAAATTTTCTTATACTGAGCAGATTTTTTAATTTCAGTTCCATCATTTTTTTTTTTATGTTAAATAATGCTTTTACTTGGGCCCTTATTTAATTGCATTCTGCTTGATTTGTCTTAAAGAGCTTTTCATAAATTTCTTGAACTCATAAAATGTTTATATTTGTTAAGTGCTCTCAGCAGCACAAAAGAAAGGTTAATATCTAGTTATTAATATATGTATTTAAAACATGTTTAAATATACACATATTAAATATTTCCTTATATCTAAATATTATATATGCATATTTTTATAACATTTTTAAAACCCAAAAGTAATTTCACTATCTGTTTTGGTTATTTTATTTCATTCAGTCAAATTATCAATGAGATTTTGGAACCCTCCATTAAAAAAAAATCTAACAAAATCTGTCAATCAGGTCATGTCTCCTTGCACTTAACCAAAGTACCCAAGAGAAAAATGTAGTGTTTCATCCTTCTCAGAAGATTTATGCATACATAATCCATTATTTAATAACAAAATGTCAGTAGGGAGCTCATTATGAGGAAGTGTGAGGCAAACAAAATGTAAGGCATTGGTAGAGATTTGAAATAGAAACAGCATTAGACAAGGTTAGAGTAACAAGACAAAAAGGAACAAGAAAACACTTAGAACAAGGATCAAAGACTATGGAAGAGTGAGCTAGTTGAAGGGTAATGGGAGTTAACAGTAGTGAAATAAGATTAAAAAGAGAGAGAGAGAATGTTGGAACCGAAAAATAACTTTTAAAAGAATAGATCACAGAATAGTAAAATGAGAAAAGGTAAGATCAAAGGACAGAGAATATGGAACTTGGATTTATGGTAGAAAGAGTTGCAACTGGGTAAGTGAACGGGGCTTATTATGTGACACATGTTCTTTCTAGTGATTGATTGTATATATTCACATATATAATCACAGATTTGTGTTAGGTGATAGATTTATCCTAACAATCAATACTTCAAATGTGCTATAATTTAGACACAATCTACATGCATTTGTTTTTGCTAAAATACTACATGTTCCTTTGAAAAAAATATTTTATATATACCAAATTGGAACACTTTCCAAATATAAGACATTAAAATTACTTATTGTCCTGGTTCAGTATATTGTTATAAACTAGATCTCTTCTGTATAAAATAGATACATGTTTTAATTAATTAAAAAAATTAAAAGTCATTTTTTAAAAAGCAGTAAATCAAACTAATTCTTTCTGATTTTCCTTATGTTTGTTAAGTCATAAGCATACTACTACTACTACTGTACTCACTGGCGTTGAGTCAGACCCAACTCATAGCAACCCTTCCTTTGGTTTCCAAGGCAATATCACTACAGAAGTAGATTCCCCATCCTTCCTTCCGAGGAGTAGCTGGTGGGTTTGAACCACCAGCCTTCTGTTTAGCAGTCAAATGCCTTAGGCACTACACCACCAGAGTTCCCATCATAAGCATAGAATATCATAAATATACTCTTATAATTAATACTAAAAATTCAAATGAAGAACAATTCATATAGGTTTTAAAACACATGGCATGATTATCGCTTCAAGAAAATGAGTTCTTGATATCTGACAAATTCAGTAGTATAATTGAAAATAAATTTAGAAATATCATTTAATGATCCAGTAATAAGAATTCTATTTATTCTCTAGTTTCCATTACACAAATTGATCTTTAAATTTAAGTTTTGAAATAAAAATGATAAATCTAAATTTTTTACATATATGACTCTTGAAAGTTAAAATAAATGTTTATTTTAGTAGATTTCGGAAATAGCTGTGAGGGGTGACTCCTATTTGAAGGTAAATTATCATTTATTTTAGCCTTCTAATCAGATATCACAAAGATATACAAAAATTATGCCTGAAAACAGCAAACTGTTTTCTTCATAGTAGGGTAACACTAGAGTTTGACCCCTGTGAATAATACTCACAGCACCACTTTCTACAACCTCCTCAGTCTCTTTGTGTTTCAGTTTTCACATCTGTAATACAAGTAAGATAGTAATAAAATTATAGTAGCAGAATTTTCAAAATTCATTACAGAGTAGATACAAAAGCTTAGAATAGTTACTAACACATAAGTATTCACTATTTGTTGGCACAGTTAGCACTTGTTATAAGTTGTTATTTAAATGGGTTCTCCTTGACTATACATTATCAAAAGAACAAATATACAGTTCTAAAAGACATTGGCAATTAATATTGTCCCTACACTAGAAAACAGTTGATACATATAGTGGTTGACCATGAATGACACAGAATTTGGGAAATAATAACTCCAAGAAATTTGTGAAAGCTGTGATTTAGCATTAGTTGATATGAAACATCCTTTCTTTGAATACTCTGTTTTATTATCTTATGTCTTACAGTCCAAGTTAAGACCACTGAAATGTTTTTCTCTATCTCCAAAATTAACTAATAATCTAAGTTCTTGCACTACCTACGGTGACCCTGGTGGCAAAGTTGTTAAGTTTTCCACTGCTACCCAAAGGGGCAGTTCAAACTCACCAGACAATGCATGAGAAAAAAAGAGGTGGCAGTCAGCTTTGATAACATTTTATAATATTGGAAACCCTATGGTTCAATTCTACTCTGTCCTATAGAGTCATTAAAAGTCAAAATGGACTTCACAGGAATGGGTTGTTAACCAAGCACATCTTGAAAAACTAATGTCGTTTCTCTGGTCTTTGGATTCTTTGTTTAGTAAATAAAGGAAAAAAAAAAAAAAAAAGCTCACTGCCATGAAGTCATTTCCAACTCATAGTTGACCCTCATTGGATTTCTGGGAGCATACACCCCATCTTCATTTCTGTAAGGCCGCTGTGTTTCTGCCTAACAGTTCCAGAGAGCAGCTGGTCGGTTCAAACCGCTGACTTTCCATTTAGCAGTCAAGAGCCTTTTCTGCTATACCACCAGAAGAACACTAAATCAATGCTGCTTAGAGTGTGATGTTCTCACAAATGACATCATCTGGAAGCCTGTGTGAAATGCAAACTCCCAAGCCCCACCCCAGAAAACTAAATTGAAATCTGCATTTTGACAACAAACCCTAAAGACTGATTTGCTAATTAGTGCTTGAGAAACTAAGTTCTGTATAACCTCGGAGACAATTTTCTCCATAAATAAGGTAAGGGGAATGTATATATTTGTTTGTTTTGTACACACATTTTGATATTTATAGAGTATAGGACATTTATTAAGTGTAAGAGTATGATACGTTGGGAAGAAAAGAAGGAGTGAGGGAATGCTGAGAGTGAAGCAAGCATCATGTGTCTTAGATGCAGGAAGCAGTTTGTCTTAAGTGCACTGCTCAATATATTAATATTTCTGGTGAGAACAATGTATTTATGTAATGGAGAACTTTGAGTGTCACATTAGTAAGATTAAACATGAAACAATCAAGATTCATAGTCAAATAGTGAAAAGTGGAAAATCATTTTGAAACATTTTTTTTTAATTCTTATAGTTTATTTCTGAAAAACATATTAAAAATATTGTGGTGAATATTTGTCATTTCATGTTTTTTACTTACAGTTCAGTGACATCAATTACTGATCACCTAGTGAAACTGTTAGAACTATTTGCAGATGTTTCATGTCCTTAGTAGAAACTTAGTACTCCTTAAGCAATATCTCCCCACATTTGTCTATTTTATATAATTCATATAAGTGAAACCATACAATATCTGTCATTTCATGTGATATATTTCAATCAGTATAATGTTTTCAAGGTGCCTCCATGTATCAGAACTTCATTTCTCTTTATGAGTGAGCAATATCTCATTATTTGAATGCATCACATTTTATTTATCCTTTCATCTATTGATAGGCATTCGGGTACATCTGCAGAAAAATAATATAAATTATAAGAGCAATTAGGAAGTTATTACTGTCAAATATGCAGGTTACTAGAACCTATGCTTTAGGGGCAGATTTTTTTAACAGACAAGATTAAAAAAGAGTTAAATTGTGTGTTTAGATATTGTCTGTGGTATAAGCAGATGCATGATAAAGCCTGGAATAATTGCTGGAGTGAGAGGGCCAGATTTGAATCTTAGATCTTAAATTTGCAATCTTTGAAAAATTGATACAATTATTTGAACATATGTTTCCTAAACTGATAATTGGTGATAATAAAAAAATGACTCACTTGTACATTAAATTAACTGATATTAAACTTGTATTCCTCTAGGTACAGAAGAGGCACTTACAAATGTCAGACTATGAATGGCTGTATTTATTGGACTCTCTTTCATGGATAAATTATTTATTTATTTATTTTCCTAGTATTGTGTAGTTTGTTTCAAAGCTTTCAGTCTTGGGTCTCTGTTTCCTGGTCTATTTCAGGACCACAATGGGCACAGACAATAGAACTGTCTCCCAGGAATTTCTCCTGTTGGGCTTTCCAGGGTCCCAGGCCCTTCAGCTCTCTCTCTTCATGCTTTTTCTGGTAATGTACATTCTCACAGTAGGAGGCAACTTTACCATCTTGATGTTGGTGAGTACTTCCCACCAGCTCCACACTCCTATGTACTTCTTTCTGAGTAACCTCTCTTTCCTAGAAATTTGGTATACCACAGCTGCAGTCCCCAAGGCCCTGGCCATCCTCCTGGGGAGAAGCCAGACCATATCATTCACAGGCTGTCTTTTGCAGATGTACCTTGTTTTCTCCTTGGGCTGCACGGAATACTTCCTGCTGGCAGCCATGGCTTATGACCGTTATCTTGCCATCTGCTATCCTCTACACTATGGTACCATCATGAGCAGCCTGCTTTCAGTGCAGCTGGCCCTGGGCTCCTGGGTATGTGGCTTCCTGGCCATTTCAGTGCCCACGGCCCTTATCAGTGGCCTCTCTTTCTGTGGTCCACATGCCATCAATCACTTCTTCTGTGACATTGCCCCCTGGATTGCCCTGTCCTGTACCAGCACCCATGCTGTGGAGCTTGTGTCCTTTGTCATTGCTTTTGTGGTCATTCTAAGTTCCTGCCTCATCACCCTAGTCTCCTACATCTTCATCATTAATACCATTCTCAGCATCCCCTCAGCCAGTGGGCGGAGCAAAGCTTTCTCCACATGTTCCTCTCATCTAACTGTGGTGCTCATCTGGTATGGATCCACCATCTTCCTTCATGTCCGAACCTCAATCAAAGATGCCTTGGATCTGACCAAAGCTGTCCACGTACTGAACACTGTGGTGACTCCAGTTCTAAACCCCTTCATCTACACACTCCGTAACAAAGAAGTAAAAGAAACACTCCTAAAGAAATGGAAGAGAAAATAAATTGCCTCTATCATAATATATTTTCTCTAAAATGTGTCCATGTATATACAGAGGTTCCAAATAAGAATAAGAGAAGACAAAGCAACTTTCCATTACACCAAACTTGTTGTTATAGAGCTTATTATTACTCGTGGGATTCTGTATGCAGGCTAAAGGGAAAAATACCTAAAAACAAAATAAAACAAGCAAAAAACTGACTAGGTTTTCTCTGTTATCACTGTTACATGCTGTTGAGTGGTTCACACTCATTGTGACTCTATGTACAACAGAATACATAGTGTCTGGTCCTTCTCTATGGAGGTTTTTAGTGTAAACAAATGGTGTTTTAAGCAAAATTTTTTGTATTAAATCCAGTTTTCCCTTGATTTACATTGATAAAATTAGGTACACATGCAGTAATAAAGGCATCAGCACTTGAAACAGTTCCTTCGCAGTTGACTTCCCCAATGCTACACGTCGTCTAATGTCCTGACTGCTGCTTCCATTAGCATTGATTGTAGAACCAAGCAATGTGAATTCCTTGACAA